CAAACCCGAAGCCCTAAAAGCCTAAGCCCAAAAAACCCAGCCAAGCCCATAGCCTGTATAGTAGCCCTCAGACCACCCCAAACCCTAAATCCTAAACCCTAAACCCTAAAGCCCAAACCCTAAACCCTAAACCCCAAACCCCAAACCCTAAACCCTAAACCCTGAACCCTTATGGGAACTCAAAACGGGTCATTGAAATCCCTCATGTTCAAGACCCTCGTCTTCTTTCAGGGGCCTCCAAGGTAGGATGAAGGAGGATGACGGAGCTGTTACTAACAGTCCGTACCTTAACCCCAAATACCCTACGTTTTTCAGGACTTATGTAAAGAACTCATAATAAGGAACCCTAAAAATTCAGGTTCTTTGGGGTCCAGGTAAACCCTCAACCCTAAACCCATCATCTGAACCCTGAACCCTAAACCCTAAACCCTGAACCCTAGTAATCCTAAACCCTAAACCCTCGTTGCTAACGGTCCTTAACCCATCACCTGAACCCTAAACCCTAAACGCTAAACCCATCTACCTTCATCGCACCTTTCCAGACCCTCGGAGTTCTTGGTGTGGCAGGCAGAAACCGCCGGGACTGGGGAAGAGGAAGGCTGGGTTCCTTTTGTTCCTTAGGCTTTTGGGGTTTTAGGGTTTAGGGCGTTTAGGGTCTAGGGGGTTTTCAGGATATGGGTTTTGGTATTCTTAGGGTCTTCTGGTGTTGTTTAGGTGTTTTATGGTTTAGTTGGCACTTTTGTGGTTTTCTTCTTGTGTTTTGTTGTTGTGTTTTTGTTTGGCTTTAGTGCTTATTCAAGGTTTAGGCTTCATGACTCTGTGGGTTGTTTTGTACTATATAACTAGTGTTCAACGAGGTGTTATATGATGCCCTAAACCCTAAACCCCTCAACCGCTAAACCCTAAACCCTAAACCCCCAAACCCCTAATCCCAGGAGCACCCACCCAAAAGCTTGCGGGCCATTCTCGAGCCGTGCATTGCAGCTAGCATGATGCCAACCCTGAACCCACAATCCTAACCTCAAGAAATCATAGGGACCCTTAGGCCGGGAAGGGGGAGGGGGGTAGGGGACTATATTCCCTCAAACAGGCCTTGTTAAGTCCTTGCTACAGGTATGAAGGCCCCCTATCCCCCTCCTCCCTACCTTGTAAGGGTCTTTATGGAGAAGATAGTGGAGATCACCGACCCCGGAGTGAGCAGACAGATTCTGAGCTAGCGGTTTCAGGATTTCGGGCTTTCGGGGTTTAGGGGTTTGGGGTTTAGGGTTTAGGACTACCCTAAACCCTAAGCCCTTTTGGGGTTTAGGGTTTAGGGGTTTGTTTTTGTTGAAGGTGTCAGCGTATGCCTTGCCCACTGGATCGAAGGCATCTACATGAGGGATGCTTTCCCAAGTCATGATTTTAATACCTGGTTCGAAAGCCGGCTTGCTACAAATTATGCAAAGTCCAGCTTTGTGTATATGAGTGAATTACGGTTAATCTAGAATGATGGCCTTTCTATGGGTGTTGGGCCATTATTTTGCCAAAGTAGGCAAGCCCTACCAAACAAATCAAGACAACGATCTTGTTCGCCCCCGAAATCATGATAAAGCCAGTTTTAGGACCCCAAAAGAACGCTGATGCTCTTGCAACAACATGGAAACAAGCTCTACCCTACAGAAGACTCCGTACATACTCCATGAAACCTTCGTAAGCCCTTCTTAGGGGCTGAGTAGGTAGCCTTTAACCGCTTGGGGCTTGTATAATCCTACTATAATTCAAAAGGTTATCCTTTTTTGGGCTGGGGTACTCAGCCCGTAAGCCTTGTATGAGCCTAGGTCCCTATACACCCTAGCCCTAAACCCTAAAATGCGGTCACCCCTAAACCCTGAACCCTAAGACCCTGAACCCCTAACCGCCATAACAGACCCTATCGAATTATGGAGCCCTTAAAGAAACACTTCAAGGAACTCGTATAACACCCCTACACCCCTAAACCCTAAACCTCCAAACCCTAAACCCTAAACCCTAAACCCTAAACCCTAAACCCTAAACCCCTAAACCCCTAAACCCCTAAACCCCTAAACCCTAAACGCTAAACCCCTCAACCCCTAAACCCCTAAACCCCTAAATCCCTCAACTCCTAAACCCAAAGTCTCTAAAAAGAGCACGGCCAGGTCTGCAGGATGACTTGGAGTCTGCCTGGCCGGTGATTCAAACGATGCTGACCTTTGCGCAGCGAGCTCAGATCAGGGTTTAGGGTTTAGGGTTTAGGGTTTCGGGTTTAGGGTTTAGGGTTTAGGGTTTAGGGTTTAGGTTTCGGGTTTAGGGTTTAGGGTTTGCGCAGCGAGCTCGGATTAGATTTGAGGTCAGGTTTAGGGTTTAGGTTTTAGGTTTCGGGTTTAGGGTTTGCGCAGCGAGCTCGGATTAGATTTGAGGGTTTCGGGTTTCAGGTTTAGGGTTTAGGGTTTAGCTTTCGGGTTTAGGGTTTGCGCAGCGAGCTCGGATTAGAGTTGAGGGTTTCGGGTTTCAGGTTTAGGGTTTAGGGTTTAGGTTTCGGGTTTAGGGTTTGCGCAGCGAGCTCGGATTAGAGTTGAGGGTTTCGGGTTTAGGGTTTGGGGTTTTGGGCTTAGGGATTAGAGTTTAGGGTTTCGGGTTTAGGGTTTAGGGTTTAGGGCTTAGGGTTCTGTGGCCTAAGACCTTTTAGGGTTTGGGGTTCAGGGCTCTTATTAGCAACCTTACAAACCCTGAACCCCAAACCTTCTGTCAGATATTATTCTTGACCTGAAACCTTACAGTACGTTTAGAGTTTAGGGTCTTGAATCCCTAAGCCTAAGCCCAACATCTTAAACCCTTTAAAAAAACCTCAAAGCCCGAATCGAAGCCCTAAACCCTAAACGTCCGAAACCCATCAGCCCCAAACCCCCAAAACCCTAAACCCTAAATCCTAAACCCAAAGCCCCCAAACCTATAAGCTCTGAGACTTGAATTTACCCTCCTTCAGGTATGGCTGGAATGTGGGCAAGTTGGAGGGCGGACGGAAAGTCAACGCGGGCTGGTCTAAGCCCGCCCGGCTCGGCAAAAACTGCGTCCTCGTCGCTTCGGCTCTGAGTTGCTGAGGGGTTGACCCTGGTTTAGGGTTCAGAGTTCCTTTAAGGGTTCCGGTAAGGGTTTCTATAAGAGCTACTACAAATTTGTGGGTTTAGGCTTTGGGGTTTTACTCTAAGGGTCCAGGGATATCATGAGGACGGTGGGAGAGTCTTTGCGTCTCCTCGGAGTCTCAGAAATCCTTCTCTTCGAGGTTCCCAAAAGAAGCATTCAGACCCTAAACCCTAAACCCTGAACCCTAAACCTTAAACCCTAAACCCTAAAACCTAAACCCTATTCAGACTCTTAGGGTAGGGCTGAGGGCTTCTGGCCTTAATGGCTTCAGAAACCCTAAACCCTAAACCCTAAACCCTATAAGGGTTTCGACTTTAGGGTTTGGGGTTTGGGGGTTTAGAGATTAGGGTTTGGGGGTTTAGGGTTTAGGGTTTAGGGGTTTAGGGTTTAAGGTTTAGGGGTTTCTGGGTTTAGAATTTAGGCCTTTGGGTTCTGGGTTTCGGGTGTTTGCTTCTTCCCCCCTCCGTTAACTTGGGTTGTTAATGGGCTGAGTCAGGCCGCCAGGCCTTTGGCTTTGGTTCGATGTATGTTTTTTTTGTGTGGCGTTCTGGGGATTTAGGGCTAAGCCCTAAACCCTGCACCCCTAAAACTTACCCCCTAAAACATAGCCCCCTAAACCGCTACACCCTACCATAGAAGCCTAAATAATTATACTATACTGTCTTGGGAGCTCCTTATCATAATTATGGTATGACGGGTCCCAAAACCCTATTCGAATTGTTAAGGCCCCTATATTAAACCCTAAACTTCCGGAGACAGGGTTCCAGGCATTCTTTGCAGTCCTCTCGCAACCAGTGCTGGTTGGCTTCCTCGCACTGCAGCTGGAGGAGCTCACAAAGAGAGCCATTCCCGTAATCCTTCCTTCGTTGAAAGAGGTACTTCCCCAGAGACTCCAAAACCCCTTAATTAAGGAATATACCTTAAATCATATTAGGGATCCTATTATATTTTCAGGTATTTTCCTTAATTAAGGAGTTTTGGAGTCTCTGGGTCCTCCAGGGAGGTGCTGCGCTCCCATTCTTTCCTCGGCAGCTGGCCAAGCCCGAGACGAGCTGGCGGAGAAACTGCAGCGCGACCCTTCCCGTAAGGACGAAATGAACCCTAAAAGGGTTTAAGGTTCATATACCATATAGGGATTTATAGTACAAGGGTATAGGGCCCTTACTTTCAAGGGTCATTTCGTCCTTACCGTCAAGAGGGAGCGGCACCACTAGCTTCGATCGTGATCGGGACCAGGCCCCGAGCACTTGTCCTGGAGGACCCTCTGACGCGAGCAATCGAAGAGAAAGACTCCGCTAATGTAGAAGCCTAAATAGTTTCCAATCTCATTCATAGGGCTCCTTATTATAATGGTACTATAATGGTCCCATTATTCTTAGGGCTCCTTATTATAATGGTACTACAATGGCCCCCAACACCCTAATTATTCTGATTCTTAAGGCCCCTATATTAAGCCCTACAGCCAGTTTAAAGGACGCTCCAACCTTGGTGATGCGGGCTATGCAGATGGACTGGGGTTCTGATAGTACCTGTGCCCTAACCCTATAAGGGTCCAAACAATATAGTCTGTATTCTTTGACCTTATAAAGGATTCCCTATGTAACGCTTTTGAAGCCCTAAACCCTAAACCCTAAACCCTAAACCGAAAGCCCTAAACCCTAAACCCTAATGGAGGACCCGTCGTTAGGGTAATGCTGCAACCTCTTCGCTGAGCAGTGTTTCCTGGACTCCTAGGCTTCAGGATTGAGGGTTTAGGGCTTATTTAGGGTTTAGGGTTTATAGGGTTTAGGGTCAAGGGTTAAGGGTCTCGGGAACTACAGGGTGTTAGAGTTGTGGGATTGCTCATCTGACCATAAGTTTGTAGAATTTAGGTGTGTTCTTTTTGGATTTCGGAACGTGGCCACATGAAAGATGCAGTAGTCCACAACACAACTTGACTCTGCGACCAAACCCCAAAACCTAAACCCTACACCCCTAAACCTTAAACCCAAACCCCTAAACCCTAAAGACCTGAACCCTAAACCTTAAACCTTCAAGACCTAAACCCTAAAGACCTAAACCCT